CTTTGACTTTTCGAGGAGCTTCGTTTTTCTGAAGAGGTGGCCTTATTGGCCTCTTCACAAAAACGAAGCTCCGCGAAACTCCACAACCTCACCCGATGCGCGATGGAGGAGGTGGATTAGTTTCGAAGAGTTTGGAATAGCTACTATACGTCTTGTAAGTTGTAGTGCGTGGAGATGGCATCGCCATGACAATTCCACTGAAAAACTCTAAATAAAAAATTACTGAGTCTAAAGTGCAGAACTAAATATTGCGACAGAGCTTTCGGCCATATTTTCAATTCATTGCATTCCCAACTCATCACAACCACGCGCTCTTCAGCCGAACCATACAGACACCAGCAAGGACACTTCCGTTGAGAGATAATGTTGCTCCACGCCTCTAGACAGCTGTTTCGCTCCCTGTCGGAGCTCATCAGTAGAGGATGATAATGATGATAATGGAGGAATGATCATTCTTATACACCAGAAATGGCGCAAGTGCGCGCTTTCCACATATATCAATGGCATACATGTATGCAAGCTGCTAAAATGGTAAAGTGTGAGAACAGCGATAAATAATCATAGTACACGCTCATTGGTGGAGAAACACACCACACAAGCGACGAAAATCTTACTCGGAATACTGATGCCAATGGAAAGTACATGTACATGTATGTTGTTTATTATTATGATGTTGCGATGTCCATGTATGCAGGCGATGCTACTAGGCCTGTTAGTATCACACTCACGACTACAAGTCCTGGTGTGCATCGACATCGGCATCAGTGGGGCCTCCCGCTGTCGATCCTGTTGACGGGCGGACAGGTCGGTGTGAATCCTGAACGGCAACCGAGCCTGTCGCGTTGGGGGATCTCGGCGGTGAGTCTCGCCTCGCCTGCATACATGGACATTGCATTCCTCTACTGATGAGCTCCGACAGGGAGCGAAACAGCTGTCTAGAGGCGTGGAGCAACATTATCTCTCAACGGAAGTGTCCTTGCTGGTGTCTGTATGGTTCGGCTGAAGAGCGCGTGGTTGTGATGAGTTGGGAATGCAATGAGTCTAAAGTGTGTAAATGATAGAAACCGTTCTAATAATGGGACACTTCAACTACAACTTTGTATTTGAACAGTCGAACGCGCCCTTACTTGTACACTGACTGTATTCAGCTTGGTAGCTTGGTAGATCTACTACACAGTCTACAGAGTCAGTATTACTGATAACGTGATAGTACATTGTAATACTATTACTGTAGTACACAATACTAATAGTAATAGCGAGAGTTCCCAGATTGCCTAGAGTGCTCAACACCACAAGGATGGAGCATTACCACAAAGGCAGAAGAGAACAGAGACAGCCGGCTAGGTCATTGTTGTAACGCTGCGTTTCATGCACATAGCAAAGCTAAGGCAATCCTCACTCCTCAGACAACTAATTACTTGTCTGAGGATTGCCTTAGCTTTGCTATGCCAGTAATTTGTATGTGCACTTTCCTGTATTCTCGCCTTGTTACACTAAGTCACACTGGTATGAAGAAGGTCTTCGGCCTTTCTAGGCGCACCCCGACTGCTTTCCTTTTGCAGCATGCTATTCGAGTCTCGCCTCAACTTGCGACTTTTTGTCTTTGTGTTCCGATGTATCAACAAGCTGACAAGTCCCCTGCTTTCCTCTATGTTCACTCTACAATCAGCTGCTACTTGTACAGCTAGGCGCACTAGAGGACAGTCCTTCTCGTCTATTTCTTTGCCTGCTGCTAAAACTAGATATGGCATGTTCTCTGTTTCTTTCCTTGGCGCTGATCGGTGGAATTCTCTGCCTATGTTGTGTCGCCAAGCTGATCAACCATCCGCTTTCATTTCGCTCTGCAAAGAGCACTTAGGGTTCCCTGCAAAAAGACGGCAACGTCTGTAGGGATTTCCCTAACAAAATAATAAACTACTACTACTACTACCGGTATGTGCATGAAACGCAGCGTTACAACAATGACCTAGCCCGAGTAGCCGGCTGTCTCTGTTCTCTTCTGCCTTTGTGATACTATTAGTACAATTATGTCATGTAATACCAAGACGGCAAGAGTAGATAAATACACTGTTTACAGTTTATCTCTGTTTGAGTCGGACTCGTAGATCTACTCGTAGTCGTAGTCTAGACTACAGTAGTGTCATGAGTCGGGTTTTATTCCCGGCCCGCTCGTCAGTCTTGACTCCCGATCCCGGCTGCGGATCCCGGCTCTGGTTCATAATGCATGAGCCAAACTGTACGTTCTTCGAAGACGCGGAACGTCCTGCCAAGAGACTCTGGAGCTTGAGAGAAAGGCATGACCCATCCCTGTCTTCGCTATTCAAGGAAGATCGACTGCTTGCTGGCGCTGCTCGAGCTGCTGATGTTGAAGTGCAGAGAGACGCAGCCTCATCGCTCAGGCGTGCGGGGAAGGCCATCTGAGTTCGAGCTGTGGTTGTGTGCACGATATGACAGACTTTCACGTTATGCACATAGCCACCAAAGTAAAACTCATGGACACTATCCACGGGCTTCTTCACTAGTACTACTCCATCAGCTCCCTCTGTCGGCGACTTGCCCCTGCGTTGGAGATGAGCAAGCCTGGTGTGGCACTCACTCTGGGAAACAGAGGTTCATCACTCATCGAGTCATCCACTGGGACGCATGAAATGTTTGGCACGACGACTGTACACTCGAGGAAGTGGTGCCCTTCTTAGTTCTAGGAGCATCAGGGTTCTGCATAGAGAAGTGTTCTCTACATCGACAGAGGAGAGAAGGTAGAGAAAAGAAAAAGAAATTTCAATCTACAGTAATCCGAAATATCCACTGAATGCGGAAAACTTACCGCTCCAACAACTCCTTCTTTTTCCAGACAGATACGCACCCTCATTCAGCAGAAAACTGTTCAGTTCCTTCACAGGCCATTCTTCATTTGACAGTTCGTCCACGGGTGCCACAGCCATCGATGGCAAACCACTCGACACTCTCTCCTCCATCTCCAAAATGGAAAAATACAGTGTTTCACCATGCTCAACAATTACAACGGATACTCTGCACAAAAATCGAGGATGCCCCGTCTCGGATCACGTGACCGTTATTGTGCAAAGGGTCTAACGTTAGTAGTTGCGCATTTTCATGTTTTTCGACGTGAACGTGATCGTGAATGTTCATGTTGCATCAACGTTGCAACAGCGAGGCTTTGCAAAACATTTTCCAAAATGTGCACTTCCAACTGTTTTTATGCCATTTCCTCCAGAGAAATATTTGGCTATGTAAAAAAAGTGAACGAGGACGACTGAACGTTTTGTTTCAGTTCGTGCTCGTCCTCGTCAGAATTGAGGACTTGTCCTCGATGAAGACCTCGGAAAGCTTTTGAACAGTATTCTCGGAGTGACTTGGAACATCGTCCGAAAATGTCCGTGCCACCCGACGCGCAGATGGTGGAGCAACTCGTTGCGATGGGCTTCAACGATGTTGAGGCGAAACAAGCTCTGATATCTGCTGATAATGACATGGCCACGGCAGTATCCTACCTCACTGACGGGCCACAAGGTACATCGAATAACAACGAGCCCATGGAGCTGGACAAGATAACTAACTACGGCTCCAATGGTGACTCACCTCCACCTTTGCTCAACTCGGATGAAAATACGGATGTGTTTCACGATACCAATGAGAGTCTTCCTAGCTATGAGCAGGCGTTGCAAGTTGATACTGGTCAGAGTAATACTGAAGTGGAAATGGATGCCGAAGAGTCACAGGAGGTTCCTTCTACTAGAGACGGCGGAGACGAAATGCAACAGGGGACGGTTGATAGTACATCTTTGAGTGAATTCCCTTTGACCAATTTGTACGAATTGGAAGGTCGCTTGTTCACAGACTCCTGGTCCATTCCGTTTCGTCGCAACGAGTCCCTGGGTAAATGCCTGATAGCCACAATTACGCTTGCGAAGTTGGGTAAGTGATGATCCGTGTCTTCAGAACATTGGGCGTTTTATGCGTTGCTGACATTTCGAAGTTTAAAAAAACGTGCAATGTTTGCAATATTGCAAAATTTTGATTGCACAGACTAGCTGTGTGCACGATAATATTAATAGTAGAGGACACGTGTCCCTTATTAGTACCGGAGCAAGTGGATCAGAGCCGTACTTGTAGTTTGATGTGTGGTGTATTTCATGCAACGGTGCACAAGACTTCTAAAGCTGTTGATGGATAATTATTTTGAACACACCCTATTTTCTGTGATACGATGTAGATACGCTATGAGACTGTAAACCTGTACTGTAGTAGCTCTGGAGAACATAGGTTGTCCCCTTGTGAATGTAGGCTGACGGCATTTTTGTTTACATACATGTTGTCTATGTGTACTGGAGTATTTCACTCCCCGCCTCGTCTTGGTTGAACGCTCTTTCTGGTTTTCCTTTGTTAATTTATACTCATTGTGTGTGTGTGTGTGTGTGTGTGTGTGTGTGTGTGTGTGTGTGTGTGTGTGTGTGTGTGTGTGTGTGTGTGTGTGTGTGTGTGTGTGTGTGTGTGTGTGTGTGTGTGTGTGTGTGTGTGTGTGTGTGTGTGTGTGTGTGTGTGTGTGTGTGTGTGTGTGTGTGTGTGTGTGTGTGTGTGTGTGTGTGTGTGTGTGTGTGTGTGTGTGTGTGTGTGTGTGTGTGTGTGTGTGTGTGTGTGTGTGTGTGTGTGTGTGTGTGTGTGTGTGTGTGTGTGTGTGTGTGTGTGTGTGTGTGTGTGTGTGTGTGTGTGTGTGTGTGTGTGTGTGTGTGTGTGTGTGTGTGTGTGTGTGTGTGTGTGTGTGTGTGTGTGTGTGTGTGTGTGTGTGTGTGTGTGTGTGTGTGTGTGTGTGTGTGTGTGTGTGTGTGTGTGTGTGTGTGTGTGTGTGTGTGTGTGTGTGTGTGTGTGTGTGTGTGTGTGTGTGTGTGTGTGTGTGTGTGTGTGTGTGTGTGTGTGTGTGTGTGTGTGTGTGTGTGTGTGTGTGTGTGTGTGTGTGTGTGTGTGTGTGTGTGTGTGTGTGTGTGTGTGTGTGTGTGTGTGTGTGTGTGTGTGTGTGTGTGTGTGTGTGTGTGTGTGTGTGTGTGTGTGTGTGTGTGTGTGTGTGTGTGTGTGTGTGTGTGTGTGTGTGTGTGTGTGTGTGTGTGTGTGTGTGTGTGTGTGTGTGTGTGTGTGTGTGTGTGTGTGTGTGTGTGTGTGTGTGTGTGTGTGTGTGTGTGTGTGTGTGTGTGTGTGTGTGTGTGTGTGTGTGTGTGTGTGTGTGTGTGTGTGTGTGTGTGTGTGTGTGTGTGTGTGTGTGTGTGTGTGTGTGTGTGTGTGTGTGTGTGTGTGTGTGTGTGTGTGTGTGTGTGTGTGTGTGTGTGTGTGTGTGTGTGTGTGTGTGTGTGTGGTGTGTGTGTGGTGTGTGTGTGGTGTGTGTGTGGTGTGTGTGTTTGTGTTTGTAGATGTGCAGTTGTTTGTTTTGTATACCGTAATGTCGCGTATAAAACAGGTGCTTACTATCGTTACGTATCGTATAAGCCAGGCTTCAAACCATGCTTCTATTCAAGTCTTACTTCCGGTGCCGAGAGGCGTGCTCAGACCCCAGTGTGGCAACTTCGCCATCCTCACCCCCAAGATGAAGTGAATACAGTAGTAGTCATACTTGTCGAAGATTTAAAAGATGTGCTTCTATTTAACACATGCTTCTAAGCAGTGCGCTTTGCACCTGGCATACAGTGATGCATTCCTGCACCGTGGACAATCGTCTACGCTGTGCAGTGCGTACTGTCACGCATGCCCTGTGCAAGTACTTGCACGTGTACTTTGCAGTGTACTGCACTTGGCCTGTAGTTGTACGGTGTTTCGAGTTGCAACATCTTGGATCGATGCGAGGCTTCTATTCAAAGTGTGCTTCTGTGTCACGACGTGCTTCGAAAATTCGACTTCTATTCGAGTCGTGCTTCTATTCGGGTCTTGTTTTTTATACGCGACATTACAGCGTGCATGCCCAAGACTGCATGCACCGTAAAGTATCGCGAGAGCGCCCTACCATCTCGTCCTTTCCTGCTCGTATTGTGGAGGTGGTCTCCTGCTGTAGGTCATACGACACGGACCTTGTACTCATATAATCCGTACCTTCAGGCGGACAGGAGTTCCACACAAAAATCCGCTAAGTGTGACCTTATGGTTGATAAATATGGTGGTAAAGACACACCTGGCAATATGGCGGTAAACACACGCCTGCCCACACACGCTCTCTAGGCTGCAAAGTTCTGGCACAGAGCTCTCCTTCTCACCACAAGTGTGACCTTAGTACACTATAACTAAGGTTCTCACAACGTACAAACTTCGTTGCACTCTGCCGTGCGATTTTACTTTCCCTGGCTGTAAAATCAAGGCGGGCGCTCTCGTGAGACGGAGCGCTCTGGTGGTACTGTTACAGTACGAGAAAACCCGAGTATGCAGCTTCTGACATTAGAGAGGTTCCGGGGTACGATTTTCCGTGCCAAAATCCGTATGGGCGCTACGGATTTTTTCCAGGCGTGCTCCATACGATTTTTCGGCACGAGAATCCGTGTGGACTGGCTTTCATACGAACCATGCTTCGTATGGAGATTTTGCGTCATCGGGTGCAGAAAGATTTTTCGCGTACAGATTTGGTACGAGAAACATCGATTTTTCGCGGGAAGTTTTGATTTCGGTACAAATTTTCAAAATAAAAAGGCATAGCGCGGGAATGTGACGTGTTTGCGATCGTAATCTAGGCAATGACGGCAAACACATTAGTTCCGTACCCCGGAACTTTTCACTGCTCGAAAACGACGTATAAAAAATCCGTAGAGCCTCCACGGATTTTGGCACGAAAAATCGTACTCCGGAACCTCCCTAATGTGTGTGTGTGTGTGTGTGTGTGTGTGTGTGTGTGTGTGTGTGTATGTCACGGTGAAATTCCTGGATTACATCATAGTTACGCAGATAAGCAGCGCGAAGTAGAGTAGTGTACAGCTGGACTGTTCTTGCACAGCAGGTGACCTGCTTGAATCCTGCATGTCCACACTGTATCATTGCCGTCAAACGATGTAATCCAGGAATTTCACAGTGGCAGCAGTCATATCGAGCTGCACGCTCAATTCTCATGTACTGTTGGTGCATCCTTGCTTGGTAGATTTACAGCTGCGTTCCATGGTTCAAAACTTTCAAAGTTTTTAGTTAGCCACTAATAAAGGATAGTATTTTGCTTTTGCTATCTGCATCGTTATCTGCATGGTTTTGTTTCCTCTGTGAATTCGGACTTGTGTTGTTTTTGTTTAAGGCCTGGCTGAGGAAGATGAAAATTGTGTAAGATTTACATCAAGATGCTTACCAGAGTCTTTTGAAAAGGTATGGATAGCCAGTCGACACCAGCTTCTATGACAAGGTTGCTTGTTGCATGACTTGACTTTCCCAATATTTCTTGCTGTAACCCTCCCCTCTAAAATTACATGCACACACACACACACACACACACACACACACACACACACACACACACACACACACACACACACACACACACACACACACACACACACACACACACACACACACACACACACACACACACACACACACACACACACACACACACCTTGACCTTGACCTTGATCTTGCCCATTGCGTACGCAATGATAGCGAATGTCGGAAAGTTCAAGTGAGGACACGAGCGCAGAACTTGGCATGTCGTTTCAGGTCTCCTGGTCGACGAAATGGGCGTCCACAGACACATAGAAGAGGATCAGGAGCGGGCCGTGGCGGTGGGGTGCTACTCGCAACTTGTCTCCAGCCGGGACGATCTTGGCAACTCTCAAGCCAGGTGGTCACGCCGAGGTCCGCCAGGTCAGTCGACACCACATCTCGCCACCTCTTCTTCGGGCCGTGACGAGGACGGGGGGCAGGCAGCTCGCCGAACAGCAATTGCTTCGGTGCGCGTGAGTCGTCCATCCTGCCGACGTGACCCAGCCAACGAAGCCGGTGGCGACGGATGATGCGGGTGATATCAGGGTCAACACCGAATGTAGCTGCTAATGTGGCCGTTGAGATCCGATCATCCCACTGTTGACGACGACCGATACCCACAATGGACCGAACACACTGATGGTGAAACGTGTTTAGCTTCTGGAGGTGGCCTGCCTTGGTGGTCCACGTCTCCGCACCATACAAGAGGGTCGTGAGGACGACAGCCTCATAGACACGCCTCTTGCTGCGAAGCGACAGGGTCTGGTTATCAAAGACAGGAGCTTTGAGGGCTCCGAACACAGCTGAGGCTTTCGCAAGGCGAGAGCGGACATCAGCACAGGCAAGACCATCCGAGGAGAGCACACTGCCAAGGTAGGTGAATTGGTCCACCACCTCAATAGTGTCTGCTCCAACAACAACGTCACGGCGATCAGCAGACTCACCCACAGCCATACCCTTGGTCTTTCTCACACTGACCGTCAGGCCCCAGCTGCTTGCGCATGTGATGAAGCTGGAAGTCATCGCTTCGAAGGCAGGCCGAGATGTTGCGTAGAGTGCAGCGTCGTCAGCAAACTGGGATTCTGTGACCGTTGATGACAGGAGCTTGCCCTTCGCCGTTCGGTCACCGACTAGCTTCCTCCCGACTTTATATCGAAAGGATATGCCAGCGTCCGGACAACTGGACCTCCAACTGGCAACGACGGCAGAGAAGTACAAATTGAAGAGCATTGGTGCGAGAGTGCAGCCCTGACGCAATCCATTCCGCACAGTTATCGGGTCAGTCAGCTTGCCATCCACCCGAACAGAAGCAGTCATGCCGTTGTGGAGTGACTGAATGATGCGGAGCATTGCCGGCGGAACACCAAGCTTTTGGAGAACCTGCCACAGCGCTGCACGCGGGATACTGTCATACGCCTTTCTCAGATCGACGAACAGGACATATGCATCTGAATCATGCTCCAACGTCTTCTCCATCAACTGCCGTGCGACGTACACCATATCGACGCAGCCACGTCCCTTTCTGAAGCCGCACTGAGAGTCTGGCAAGACATCTTCAGCGATAGCTTTGAGGCGGTCCTGCAGAATACGGGCAAGCAGCTTGCCGACAACGTCCAACAGACTGATGCCGCGCCAGTTATCACAGTGGTGTAGATCTCCCTTCTTGGGGATGGGCACAACCACTGCATCACGCCAATCATCGACTACAGTGCCTTCGAGCCAGGATTTACGCATGATGGTCAGGATGCGACTGTGTAGGTCTTTGCCACCATGTAAGACCATGTCCGGTAGAATGCCCGACTGACCGCCAGCTTTACCCGCTTTCATGGTCCGCAGTGCAGCCTCCAGCTCAGCAACAGTGGGTGGCTGGTCCAGCTCAGGAATAACAGGGCGATCCGCCATCATCTCGACCACAGCTGCGTCAAACTCACTCTCAACGTTCAGGACACCCTGAAAGTGCTGCAGCCATCTTCCACTTACAGCCTCGGGTCCATCACTCAACGTGCCATCTTCCAAATACACAGCAGACGGCTGCATTGGACGGCGGCCTTGATGGAGCGTCTGCAACTTGCGGACTGCAGCCCAACGAACGGAACAATTGTTAGCAGCATTTTCAGCTTGGGATGCGATGTCTTCAATCCAAGTTTCCTTGGCACTCCTTACAGCCTTCTCCACCTCACGTTGTGTCTGACGAAAGTTCTTGCGTGAAGACGCGGTGTTCTTCTGCAACATGACATCTCCAGCGGAATTCTCTCTGCTGTACTGCACATTATATCCTTCACTGCTTGCCATTGGTCAGCTGCAGTGTCTGCATCAGCAGTATCAGGGAGCTTGTCTGAAATTTGTTCAGCATAGCTCTTGCGAACGGCCAGGTCACCCAGCTTTCCGACAGCAATAGGTGCGGGTTTCGGCACAGGGCGAGGCCTGCGGCACAATGGACGATCAAGTAGAATCCTGCTGCGAATCATGTGGTGGTCTGTCCAACAGTTGGCACCGCGCATTACGCTGACATCAAGACAAAAGCGACGGTGTGGCTGCCTCATGATGATAAAATCTATGAGATGGGTTTGCTTCGTAGCTGGGTGCATCCAGGTCCCACGCCTCGACACAGGTTTCTGGAAATGGGTGTTCATTACAGACAGCCCGTTGGTAGCACACCACATCAGAAGCCGCTCACCAGCATCATTCCGCGCACCGTGACCGTATCTCCCCAACACAGCCCTCCATTCGTCTCCCGCGTCATTGCTGCTGCCAACTCTAGCATTGAAGTCACCAAGCAGCAACAGAACATCACTGGCTGGCACACCATCGACCACCCTCTGCAAATCTGTAAAGAAATGATCTTTGACGGGTGCAGTAGCTTTACTGGTTGGTGCGTACGCACTCACAACTGTCACATACAAATCATTCCTTCTCTGCCATTCGCCATGCACTCGAAGTTCCCCCGCCTCCGCGAGCTTGAGACGGGCCACAACCAATCTCGAACTTACAGCGGTCCACTGCTCACCAGCACGTCTCCAAGCCTCCGTCATCCCTGGGTTCAGCATAATTCCAACACCTTCGTTCCTACGCGCAGGACCATCGCCATTTGGTAGACGACGACCTGAGTGTAAGAACGTATAGCTATCAGCTCTCCAGACATCGGACTCGAACCACTTTTGTCTCTTGGATCGCAGCGATAGCAATCCCATATCTCCGAAGCTCCGCGACCAAGAAATCCAATTTACGATCGATCGACAAATTATTATTTTGCCGCTTTCTGCGGATGAGCTCGTCTCCAGAGTCCTCGACAAGGGAACGAACATTCCACGTCGCGAAAGCGAGAGCAGCTCCACGTCCACCACCACCACTTCCTTCCTTTCTCCTCTCTGTCTGGTTGGACTTCGTCGTCGTCCTCCTCACCATTCCAAATTCAAATTTTCGAAATTCTCAAAATGAACTTTCCGATTACTTGTGCAGTGAGTGCGCAACAACAACTCCGCAGTAGCTTGCAAGGCCACTGGCGGAGGTCACCACAGCCCTGCCCTGGTCTACACCACACGGACAGGGCTGTGTTACGTGACACAAACGACTTGAGGTCAGAGCACTCAAAAATGCAACCAACCTCTACTGTACCAAGCACACACACACACACACACACACACACACACACACACACACACACACACACACACACACACACACACACACACACACACACACACACACACACACACACACACACACACACACACACACACACACACACACACACACACACACACACACACACACACACACACACACACACACACACACACACACACACACACACACACACACACTTGCACACACTTGCACACACTTGCACACACTTGCACACACTTGCACACACAAACACACGCGTGCACACACACACACACACACACTCTCTCTCTCTCTCTCTCTCTCTCTCTCTCTCTCTCTCTCTCTCTCTCTCTCTCTCTCTCTCTCTCTCTCTCTCTCTCTCTCTCTCTCTCTCTGTCTGTCTATCTATCTACCTATCTATCTATCTAGCTCTCACTTACTGGCTGGCTGGCTTTTTTGCGCACTTTACTAATATGTTAAGTGTTGATCTAAAATTCTAAAGTGCTTCACTTATTCTCTTGTGGAGGGTATTTTAGCTGCCTGTTTTCATTCCGCTGTGACATCATCTAGCGTATCTGGAATTTACGGGATTGAGAACTGAGAATGATTATTTGTTCATTGTGCTCTGCTCTCTGCTCTCCATGTGATGTATTGTTAGTTACACAAGTCTAGTGCTGTTCAGCGCTGGGCCAAGGACATCCAAGAGGGTATTTTTGACATGACCGACCTGCTAATGGAGCTAGTGGCTGCTCGTCTCAAACATGGAGCAACTCCAGTTAATCTTCTCAATGTCCTGGCTGTGGTAAGCTGTACTCTCTCTCTCTCTCTCTCTCTCTCTCTCTCTCTCTCTCTCTCTCTCTCTCTCTCTCTCTCTCTCTCTCTCTCTCTCTCTCTCTCTCTCTCTCTCTCTCTCTCTCTCTCTCTCTCTCTCTCTCTCTCTCTCTCTCTCTCTCTCTCTCTCTCTCTCTCTCTCTCTCTCTCTCTCTCTCTCTGTCTCTCTCTCTGTCTCTCTCTCTGTCTCTCTCTCTGTCTCTCTCTCTGTCTCTCTCTCTGTCTCTCTCTCTGTCTCTCTCTCTGTCTCTCTCTCTCTCTCTCTCTCTCTGTCTCTCTCTCTCTCTGTCTCTCTCTCTCTCTCTCTCTCTCTCTCTCTCTCTCTCTCTCTCTCTCTCTCTCTCTCTCTCTCTCTCTCTCTCTCTCTCTCTCTCTCTCTCTCTCTCTCTCTCTCTCTCTCTCTCTCTCTCTCTCTCTCTCTCTCTCTCTCTCTCATGCCTACCCTTGACACTCATGAAGTCAGTATCTCTACCCAGCAACTTGAAGTCACACGTATACACTTGTTGTATACACTTGTGTCACAACTAAGGTGGTAGCAACTCTCTTTTTTTCTCTAGTATCCTTTTTTTGTAAAGCTTTTTTGTTCATATTGTGGTTACATTTCGCAGTAAATCAGATTTAGGGCACAAATTGGTAGCTTGACAGATCCTGGTCGATGTGTGATTTGCGTGGAAGCTTTGAGTTTGACAAAAGTGAGTGTTGCTGTGCTCGTTGTGTCATTGATAGTGAGCTCACTTCCTTACACTAAGCATGCCCTCTTGGCTGACCCTGATGACCTGCACGTTGCCACACCGTGGCTCAGGCCATTCCGTTGCGTTACGCTCGTATCATCATGCTTCTTGTTGCTGTACTGGCCGGGTCTGTTGGAACTTTCTGCTTTCAAGTCACTGTTATAAATATATTTTATGTTATGCCGCCATGGTTTCCTAGGCTTTACACATGGTCTGATCTGCTCATGCACATCGTGTCTGGATTTGTTGCAGACTTGGGAACAAGAGTCAGAGTTTCATTTCAAGCATAAACGCAAGTCTGACTCACCTATCAACTTGGCACCAACGTACGCTGTGACGCCTTCACCCATTTACAAGGTAAATTTCCCTAACAGAACGTGTTTAATGCGATTTCTGCTTGGTCTTCTCGCTGTTGATGACCTGTAAAGCAGTGCAATAGAACTCACAACTCTAGTGTTTGTGTTAATCATTTGGAGCCCGTACATTCAAATATCTACGGTTATACCGTCGATGGACTTAACCGTACGTAACTCGCGCGAAATTTGACGGATTTCCACAATAGAAATATCTAGGAAGAAGCCGAAGATCTCAGCTTTCTAACGCAACAGTCACTGAAGAGCTACGAAGTCGTGTTGCAGAGATATCGAGCTCGACATTTCAGTAACGGCAAAAGTTGAACTTTTTCTCTCGGGTACTGGCCTTGAGTGAGGGATTTCCCCTTTGATGACATGCTGATTCATCAAGGCACGTTTCCTGCACGTGGCCAGCATAAAACTAAACTCTGCGCAAAAAAATGAGCGTCCTGCAATGAATGGAGTGAAATGGCCGGCGTCGAGGAAATTTGCTCGTAAATCCAGCTCTGTGGACTGTTCGAGGCGCCGTGGCGTTGGATATGTGACCACTGTGGTGTTGAATGGCTCTAGCTGCTCTGCTTACGGAGGGCTTTCCAGGAAGCCCAGAATTATGGAAATCCGATAACGAGCACCAACGTTATGCCGAAAATAAGGTAAAGGATAATATCGCAATTGCAGTTGCATAGTACATTTTTCTGGGCTCCAAAGGGTTAATGTCACTGGTCTGTGTGTCTTTTTGTTTTCCGCTTTACGCACACATACACACACACACTCTCACACACGCACACACACACACACACACACACACACACTCTCACACACACACACACACACGCACACGCACACACACACACACACACACACACACACACACACACACACACACACACACACACATCTTGTAGTTCTGGCTTTATTCATGTATTTGACCGCGATGTGACTGTATCGAATTCATTTGACTCCATTGTCTGGCTTATTTTTGTGGACAATCATTTGCCAACGAACGATGATGTGTTTGCTTTATCAATGTGCAGGACCCGCTGCGGTGGTTGCTTGATCTCATGAACCGAGTAAGGGCATTAGTTCGTTTTTGTCAGCTCATGTATTTGTGTCGGTGTTGGTGTGTATGTGTGTGTGTGTGGGTGGGTGCGTGCGTGCGTGCGTGTGTGTGGATACAGTCGTGTGTGTGTGTAGATGTATTCGCCACATGAGTGCAGAAAGTGCCCAAAGATCTCTAATCTGTCCAGTGATGTGATGTTACTTGCATAATATGGACATATGGGGTGGAGTAGTAGTGCCTCTTGCAACCTCTCCCGCTGGATAGTGGTTACTGTAGAACGGGTGATTTTAGCCACTATTAATTTTAGCGTTTTCCCATTGTCAACCGGTTAGCGACGTTTTATTTTAGCGATTTGCAGCGATTTTACTCACGGATCACCAGTGCACTGCTGATGTCTCAACGGATTAGCGACTTGAAACTTTAGCGAAAAGGAGTCGATCGCTTAATTCGCTAGGGTTTTTATGTCGCTAAAATTACCCGTTCTACAGTATGTTAACTTGTGCAATGCGTACCAAAATCATGACAGTTTGAATTATATTGTAATTGTGTAGCTTGTCCTTGTGAAAGTGATAGGATTGTTACCCTGTGTTGCCGATCAAACCGACTACAGTCAAAGTGTGGCTGTTGTAGCCCCTAACCTTGTTCACACTATCTGTTGCTGTTGATGTGTGTGCTTTCAGTTTGGTGAGTGTGGTGGATTTCAGCTGCTGTGCGACCGAATAACAAGCTCAGAGCCACTCACTATGCAGGTGAGGGGAAAGATTGATGTCATACTACTTCGCAGTATTGCAATCGGCTGTAGCTAGAGCTGTGAAAGAACAGGAATTCATTGTTGCTTTCAAACTGTTCTTATCCTTCCAGTTTGAGCTTTTTTATGATCTTTTGCATCATGCTGCGAGTAGAAACTACCTTGAAGGAATTGCATACATGTCTACATGTATATACATGTTTTGCCCTGTTTCTGTGATATGTGTCTTGTAGGAATTGGCCGCACTGCTTGCCCCCTTCTCACAGAGTGCAGAGTTTCTAACGTCGTCACAAAAGGTAAAACTGTGTTTTGCTGGAACACAGTCGGTGATTTGAGAACTGTTCTATTACCGATGGGCGATGCCAGGATACTTAGCGCAAGTGGCAGTCAATTGGGCTTGTTTCTCTTGTCGTACTTGAAATCGTCCGAAGCTTTGTAATTATGAAAGTTTCTCATTCTGTACAGCCAAGTTGGTTTACATGTTTGAATGAAAACCTCTGTGTTTTTATGAGAGCTCACGAATGAAGCAGTTTGCGATGAATGTTGTCAGGAGAAATGAGTGTTTGTGCTTAACGTGTAACTAACTAAACCGGTGCTGTTCTTGCTTGAATTGCTTGTTGGCATAGGCATTGCTACGCCCCGTGGTTGACAAGTGTTTGGCGCTCATCAACGACTTGACCGAGGAGGACTTGAAAAATAAGGTACCCCGTGGTGTTTCCAGTCTTCCCGTTTCTTGTCAATCCTGGTGTTGTAACCAGTTATGTGAATGTGACGTGTAGCCCATGTTGTTTTCTCAGGAAGGTGTGTGTTTAGATGTCACGGACACACTGACAAACACATTGAAAAACACACTGACAAACACACCGACAAACACACTGACAAACACACTGACAAACACACTGACAAACACACTGACAAACACATTGACAAACACACCAGCCTATGTCTAGCATGTAGTCACCGGTATAGGGGGGTACATGTATCTAAGCCATGTGCATGACACTCTACACATGATCGTGTACACTCACCTGCCGTGCGCCGCTCATCACCTGCCATGTCTCGTAGTCATCTATATGCACTCAAATGCCTGTAAACCTTCTCATACGGTACCAAAGATCTGTGGACACACCGTATTTTACTGATTATAAGTCACAATCGATCATAAGGAGCACTCCCATTCGCATAGCAGGGTCGCGCTCCCATTTTCAGGTTTCAGCCATGCTGTTTCAATATATTGATATTACCGTATATTCTCTATTATAAGCGCCGTGCTTATATATTTTCAACACCCCTCTACCCCGTGCTTATATTGGAGACCGCGCTTATATTGGAGACCGTGCTTATATATTTTCAACCAATACATCCATAGAGAGCAAGAAGAAATACATGCTGGATATCATGCATGCAGCATTGATTTCCACCAAGGCCGTGCTAATAATAGAGACTGTGCTTATAATGTTTCGAAAGGTGCTCACAGTGTGCTAGTATTAGAGACTGTGCTAGTAATGGAGACCTGTGCTTATAATAGAGAATATACGGTAGTAGGTTGTCAAACTTGATTGTAAGTCGCAACCCCTTCTTTGCACTTGACGTTTAGTGTAAACGGTGCAACTCTCACTCTGCACTCAGTATAGCTCAAGAACAATAATTTTGTGTTCGGTATGCGCGGCTAGAAAGTCATCGCAGCAGATGTAGAGCACAGATTCCATCAAGACTGACAGCCACGGTGTCCGTGAAGCAGTTAAATACCCAAGGCATGGCGCAGGCCTACTTATGCATGCGATCACAAGCGTGAAGAACATGGTGCAAGTCATTTTTGCATTTTTGTGTCACCTTTATTTCTGGAGAACTCTGTCACATCTTTCTGCTTTGCACATGACGATGCTTTGCCGGCATGTTCGTGTGCTGGTTTGGTGCGTTGTGTTCTTGTGCAGCACATTGGATTTCTGTCAGACATCTTGCATGTACTGAAACTCATCTTGTACAAGTTCTGGAAGAACGAGCTGAGCACTGTTGATGACTTGAGACTGAAGACCATCATGCGCATGCTGAAGACGCCGCATTTCAGTGCCAAGATGAACAGCTTGAGAGAGGTGAGCGTTTTTAACGGTTAGGAGTGAATCAGTTGAAGCTGCTGACTCTCATGCTGTAGGGGTTTCCCTAAGATGCATTCATGTACATCTACTTGTTGGCCTTTGCTGCCATTGAACTCGGGGACGTCTTGTTTGCATTGCCTTCCTTGTATTTGGGTTTTGCCAAGGACCTTGTATTGCAGTATGGTGGGCTCTCGAGTGTGCTCTGATTTCTCATGCACTGCTCTTGTGTTTCCCGTCTTTGTTGTCCTTGTTTTCTTGCTGCTACTCCTGCTGCTGCTACTCCTGCTGCTGCTGCTGCTGCTACTCCTGCTGCTGGTGGTGGTGGGGGTGGGGGTGGTGGTGATATCTGTTGCAATCACTATGGCCAGGTCAGCAAGCTCATTGAGGAGAGTATTTCTAGCGCCAGTAGCAAGTACAAACGTCCCATTCAGCATCACGAACTCGTCAGGTGGCTGCTTGAGAATCGCGTGCTATCTATTGCTTTGGAAGGTAAGCTGGAATGACGTCTCCACCTGTCTGAAAAGAGCGATCTGTTGCTGTGTGCCTGTATAAATTAACTACATGCGGCTCCCCTCTTCAATGCTGTACTGCCTTTTATGGACGTCCTGTGTTGTGGTACTTCTCTCCCTATTTCCCATTGTTCTCATGCTCGTTTCCCTCCACCTCGTTCTCGTGCAGGAAACTTGCATCAGACGCAGTACTGTGAGCGCTTGAAAGCGATCATGGAATTCCTCGGCGACAAGTTGACTTTGGAGGAGCTGAGCAATATCTGGAACTTGCAGGATGGCCAGCACCAGGTCGTCATCGACAACATTCACATGCTCATTGCGTCTGTGTCGACGCGCTTCACACAGGAGCAGCTTGATCACCTTTTCCAATTGATAAAGCAGAGCTGGACTTCAGAGAGCAATCGTGCACGTGAGAAGCTGCTGGTCCTCGTTGGAAAGCTGGGCAAAGATGATCGGATTGGCAAGATTTCTGGTCAGGTAAATCTTCTACATATGAGGTGCCGTCTGTGTCTAGTAGATTTTTTTATTGTTTTGCATGTGTGTTGGTGGAAAGGGAGCATTATTTGACATGTCCTGCAAAATCAATGCTATCCTGCTGTAATGAGGACGCACAGACATGTGATGTGGACTGGCTGATTTTAGCAGCCGTGAAATTTTAGCGAAAGGAGTGTTTTCACTTAAGTTTAGTCATGCCGTGTGAAAGTTTGCATTATGCATAGCACGTGATAAGGTATGTACTCTTTTCTGAAATGAAATGCTGGTCGCTAAAATTACTCCTCACAAATTCATAAATTCAGGATGGTTTATAAATCGCTAAGTTTTTACCCACTAAAATTAGCCCTTTGCAGTGTCTAACTTCGCTTGCATGAGCCTTTGCACTCGGATTATTCCACTGCTTGAAATCAAGCTCCAGACATGACTTTCCTTGTTATTTGCATCGCTAAAATGCTTGCTGAGGAGAAGCAACCATTCAATTGCTGTAAGACTCTATTTTCATGCTCCTCTGGGTCATGTTAGATTCTGGAGTTGCTCTGGGATCTCGCCCATCTGGATACCCTGCCAACCGAAATTGTTGAACAGGCTCTGCGCTCCCACTCATCCGTGTTGGTGGACTCGTTCAACACCAAGGAGCAAGTTCGACGCAAGTACGCAATTCTGTGCGTTGAAGACATCAAGCATGTGAGTACTATTCTGTGTTCCGACACTTTCCATTCCGATGTGTCTAGTAGAGTAAGCTGTGCACATTATTTGTTCTCCTGTCTGATTAGTGCTTGAGCTGTTCCCTTGCTCATGGGTATGGTAGTGAGCTTGCTTGTTTGCAAAAGCATTTTTTGTACACAGCACGCTACCTACTTCCACTGCTCAAACAATGCTCAGTACACGGGGCCGGAGCTCTCTAACACAGAGCTAGGATCATTTGTTGTTGCTCAGTGATTATCAAGCAACATGAACTCTTGTCTGAGTTGCAACGAGCTATTCAGATTTCTGTGTGAGCGTTTTTGTATTGTAACCGTTGAAGTTTCGTGTGCGTGTGTGGGTGTGTGTGTGTGTGTGAATATCCTGACCTGTTGTTGTTTCAGAACACATGGGTAGTACCGGCTTTCAAGCAGCTGTTAAAGATTCTCAAAGCTATTAATCGCTCACATCATCAGAAGCCAGAGCGGGTAAGCTGTGGGCTAGCAATGTCTCTATGTAGAGTGCTGAGAGTTTCTCAGGTTCTCACCATTCTCCCCAATGGTATTGAAGTTCTCAATCCGCTGGCCACACTGTGTTTGCGGCCTACCTGCGCGACCTGCACAACACCATTGCGGGACAATTCCGTCTAGGTTTTGTTATGAAGCGTATTGGAATGGAAGTCACTGCTTATTCCTATTGGTCTGAGCAGTTCTATATAGTGGAACGGGTGTTGTTAGTGTAAGTCTAGGTTGCGGTAAATTTTCCTGTAATCAACAGTCTCTTCATCAGTGATGCCTCAGTCGCGCTTCATGAGAAAAGCACTCTTTTTTCTTGCAGAGTTTTTAACTTTCAGTTTGGTGTATCGTAACTATCGTATTGATTGAGAAACGAGTTAGAGATGGCAGAGTGAATGGGAAGAGAGCGGGTCTGCTCTGAAACCTTTCTTCCTATGAATGAAGCTGCATGAAGCCTCACCACTGCTACTACTTCAGTGTGATTTACTGTCACGTCTGTGATTATTTCTAACTTTATGACTTTGGTGTATCGTTTACTGTGTGCCCTCCCCTAGGCAATCATTCCCGACATCCAGAAGCAGACTGATTTGTTGAAGCTCACAGTAAATAGCTTGCAGAGGTGAGTGATGCTGGCCAGAACAAGCAGATCAGCAGGTATCTGTGCTTACTGCAACACCTACTCTGAAGTCTACCAAGTCCTGGCTGACAGTATTATCTTTGTACTTCGACTTACCAAGCACGGTATCACCCGCATATCCAGGTACTGCACAACATAACCCTTGTCTTATAACACATGTTACACGCAAGCAAGAGTAGGAAAGCTGACGGGCTGCGAGTATGCCAATGCTTTGCTGGCTTCATTCACTCAATGGCCAATGACCTGGTTCTGCTGAGTCTCAAGACTCACCTACCAAGTTGCATGTGCATGCGTGCGTGTCTGTGTATCACTCTCAGATGCCATGCTGCTGCGTGTCAGCTGGTCAAGCCTCCACAGTCGCTTACCGTTGTCAAAGTAGATGGCCGGTACACACATGACGAGGTGAGTACCTTATAGCCAGACTGCTTGTCGCAGTATGGTGAGGAGGTGCTCTCTTAGGTTTTCATGTGAATGGATGGGATCACTTCCTTCAGTGTATGAGGATTGCTCTCAAGAGAATATCCCAGCGATGGAGATGCCAAGAGACCAGCGCTGCTTTGCTTTCATTTCTTGCACAACAGTAGTGCCCCCTATGCTACAGTGCTGTTCATTGAAAACGGATCGTGGGAGTCAAGGTTGTGCTCCGCCCAGTGCTCACAGGTCTGGAGCTGCACAGCGCTACACTAACTTGTTCATTGAGCAGCTCTGTACATTGACTACTTGTACTTTTGTTTTGGACTGACAGACTAGAGCAGCGTACCCTGAAGTGTGCGTGCGTTGCTGTTTCACTACTTTCCTATGTGTCCTTTGTGTGTGTTGTAGTGCATGGCTGTTCACCTGAAGTTTTTGGCTGTGGTGCTTCAAGAGGGTCTGCTGTACCTGCCATTCCGGAATGCCAAGGATATCTGGGACTGCTTAGTGGCGAATCCTAATGCATGCGAACATGACAATGAGGTAAGTGTGGGTGGTTGTGGTGGTGTAGCATTCTAATCCTAATGCATGTGAACATGACAATGAGCTGCCTGGTATACATGTACCTGCTGCTTGCTTGGTTGCCCTCACAATGATACAATTTAAATACTAGTAAGCTATAAGGACATTGCAGCTGGGAGGGTTTGCAAGAAATGAAATTGCTGCTGAAAATTTAGATTTTACTGACCTGCAGTAGCTTCATTTTCTTGTACTACGAGAGAGCTTGGAAGCTCAGGGCCCTACGCTATGCTTTTTTGCCTTGATGACCTAGACAAAAAAAGCATAGGGATGTTATAAATTCTTTAAAAAATTCCTTTTTTTAAGACATAACCTGGGATTCGAACCCGCACTATCGCGCCCTGCATGCATCCCCCGGTCTTTAAAAAATTCCCTTTTTTTAGACATAACCTGGGATTCGAACCCGCACTATCGCGCCCTGCATGCATCCCCCGATACACTTCGCATACATTCCTAATTCTTCCAAGTTGCTTCACATTATGATCTTGCATTTGAAAGCCCTATTTGAATATGCATTGTGGCCAGCCGTCTTTGATGGTACGGTACGGGACAGGTACGATCGAGGGTAATACGACACCGTCTCCCGTACCGTACCATCAAACACAGCTGGCCACATACAGCTGCCCGCAATATTCAAATAGGGCTTTCAAACGCAAGCTCATAACGTGAAGCAACTTGGAAGAATGGGTATGAATGCGAAGTGTATGGGGGAATGCATGTAGGGCGATAGTGCGGGTTCGAATCCCAGGATATGCCTGAAAAAATAGGAGAATTGAAAAATTTATAACATCCCTATGATTTTTTGCCGTCAGATACGGGATAGCGCCAGGCGTGACACAAACAAACAAACAAACAAACACACAAACAAATACCAAATTAAAGCTGTGTGGACCCTGGCTAGCGCCAGACGTTACTGAAGTAACGTCTTCTGCATAGCTACGGGAATTAAATGTTTTTTTTAATGCTTTGCTCTTCTATGTATGTCATGAACGTTGTCCAGGCTTGCTTTGAGTGGTTCTGTAATCGCATCAAAGACATGGAGATCGACACCATCATGACCATGTTTGAGCAACGCCTACTGTTTTATGATGCCGCCAAGCTGACAGTCAAGAGTGAGTCGTGCTTTGTCCAGTAATTAAATTAGTAACGTTGCCAATAGCGCCCTGCAGCTTGTGTTTCCATTCCCACGGTAGAAACATTCCAATGATCTGGATGTGATACAGTCAGACCTCGCATAACCGCACACATCCGTTTTCCACGAAAAATATCCGGATAGGCGAGGGAACCAGATAATCGAACACACATACTGTATGTATGCATGGCATATGCTGTAAATCGGTAACCAACGATTTTCTTCTGGATGGCGAGGGATCCGGATAAAAGAGGACCGGATAAGCGAGGTCTGACTGTAGTCTGGAGGGCATGGCCGCGGTCTAAACGAGAACAGAGGTTGTACAATTCCTGGCATCAGTGCCATCCCAGGATACATGCCATGCTCCTGCTTCTGCTTGGCACTTTTCGAATTGGTACTTTGGATAAAGTACCAATTCATTTCCTCTTTTTCTCTCCTTTCTTTTGCTGTCTCTATGTGCCTGGACAGGTTTCTCTTGCATCCGCGCGTTCTACGACCATATCAATGAGAACGAGCGGCATCTTCGGCGTACGGGTGTTGGATTGGTTAGTACTAATGTAACAATGCTTGTGCGTGTACTTTTTGTGTTTTCAACAGTTTGCGGCGGTAATGCTTTGAGTACTTGCTGTGGGTTGTTTTTAATCGCAATCTGGATGTGTGCGCGCGTCTCTGTGTTTGTGGGCGGGGAAGGACGGGGAGGGAATATGCGGTGCCAGTAGTAACAGTTAGCAAGTGAAGTCCCACCTTGTGAACAACAGCAGAGCTGCGCTCACTGCACCATCCAGTGTTCGTAGCTTGACCCCCGTAGCCCCTGATATCACTTGTCTGTACGATTGTGTCGTTGCACGCCTGCATGATGGTTGAAAAGAATTATTCCTTGTTTTGTATCAAATATTTGATCACTTGCTGTGTGTGCATGCATGTTTCAGGCTTCTGATAAAGTCGAGCTTCATGGCCTTCACTATATGTGGCAGGTAAGCCATGCTGTGCGTAGTGCGTATTCCTGTTGCCCTAGTCTCGCAGCAGGTATTTTCCGAAGATTGAGCTTAGTGACAGATCAAATATAGCGAGTGTCTGTAATGTCCCGAAGGATTGTTGTTATATCCACTGTCCGCTGTACCGTGTATACCTGCTGTGTGCTATGGATAGGTGCTTAGCATTTTCCTGTCCTGGCTGTACACTTCTCCATTACAGCGCAGCACGTTGTACACAATTTTACAATCTATTCTACCTTCAGCACTATAATCCGGTTTGTCTTGCTTGCACTTGTGCTGTCTGGTGAAGAGCAGTTCAAGGTGTGGCGTGTTTGTAAATGTATATTGCTTCTTTGTCGTCGCCGTTGTTGTCGTCGTCGTCATTGCTGTTGTTGTTGTTCTGCTTTGTTGCAATGTACAGGCTGCACTTCAATCCACCTCGTCTGTGGTTGCTGATGATGCCATAGCTCTGCTATTGCTGGCATACAGTGGCAATCGTCTCAAGAGAGTAAGTACCAGAGCTGCTCACCATAAATCCCTTGCTGAATATTCTTTTTTTCGGTGATCAGGAGCCACCGCCCATGTATGGATGGTGGCGATGGGGTGGAAATTGTGCGTGGGTGCTCTGCTGATGATATGTTTGCGACATGTTCTCAACTTATGCATTGACGATGATGTTGATGATCTGCTCCTTGAGCTTCAGTGATCCACCGGCATTGTGCACCACATGCAGTTTGCTCTGGAATTCTTTGTTCCTGTTATTGTCATCATCGTTCTCACTGCTGCTGTTGCTGGTTTTTTTCTTTGTAGGATGGCGACTTTTCAGGCAAACACAGGTCGTTTTTTGCTCAATGCTTCAAGCTCCTGGAGGTGGGTTACCATTGTTAGCTATTGGTAGCTATTCTGCAGCGAATAGCATTTGACTGTTGCCTATAGGGATTCTTGTTACTTGTACTAAGTACATGAATCTAGCCTACATGTATATCATACTCCAAGAGAGCAGGTGAAGCTCGCTACATGTATTGCTCCCACTGCAATCATCTTTTGGCTCTGCTTCATTCATTCTGCACGTGTACGAGTACTAGCATTCTAAGCCTGGATTGTTTTCTACATGTCTTTACAGGAAAACTTGGCCAATTTGAACAGTAGTAATTGCTCCTCCGTTGCTGGTGGTCTTGAGCAAGCAGCTATGGCGGCGTTAGCGCCCACTGCTCCCGATCTGCCACTCCAGGTAGCGGAAAAGTAAGTAAAGTGATTAGTTGGGTGATTAGTTGGGTGATTAGTTGGGTCTCTTGCAGGACTGTTTTGTGGACAGAAACGTTTCAAACCTTGTTCGACAATGAAAAAAGACAAAGGAAAATAGGAGACAGCTATTCTCCAGCTATCTACAGAGAGACATGTTCAAACTTCAGCGTCATATTGCCAGTAGCCTCAAAAGTGCAATTTTCTCTCTCTCTCTCTCTCTCTCTCTCTCTCTCTCTCTCTCTCTCTCTCTCTCTCTCTCTCACACACACACACACACACACACACACACACACACACACACACACACACACACACACACACACACACACACACACAAACACACACACACACACACACACACACACTCTCTCTCATGCCAAACAAACCCCCTTCCAGACTTTCTTGCATCAAAACGATTTGATAGTGCTTTCTTCTCATTGTGACGATCCACCCTGTGTGTGTGTGTGTGTGTGTGTGTGTGTGTGTGTGTGTGTGTGTGTGTGTCAAAACGATTTGATAGTGCTTTCTTCTCATTGTGACGATCCACCCTGTGTGTGTGTGTGTGTGTGTGTGTGCCAGCTAGTTCGGTTGGTGGGTACACTTATGCCAGATAGTGTTGGGCCTGTTGCCAACGGGCTCGGCTGCTTGAAGGTGTATTGTTGTACCTACCACCTTTGTTGGTTTCAGGGTTCATATACTTTCTATTTGAAGTATACATACCTGTTAACCATGGACTGCTTCTGGCTAGATTAACTCTTGTGTAATCAATGGTGCTAGTGAAGCTTGTATCAGATCCACTCTGATTTAGCCACCCACACTAGTACCAAGTATTACCTTCACTGGGGGCAGAGGGTACCTGCAGTTGGATCCCGGGACGGATACCCTGATGCCGTCAATCCTTTTTCTGCACCTTGTCCTCACCCACTTACTGAGGTGTGGTGAGTCCATAAGTGGGATCATTTCAAATCCACCCTAGTTTGGGGATTTCAGGGGGTGTCGGCCGTTGGGTGGTTCAATGGCCAATTGAGTCATCTTTCCAAGATTCCTTTTGAGTATCTCTCCCCTCTCCCGGGGAGACCCACGTAACCAGTGGCAGTGAGTACAAGTACAAGTACAAGTACAAGTGTGTGTGTGTGTGTGTGTGTGTGTGTGTGTGTGTGTGTGTGTGTGTGTGTGTGTGTGTGTGTGTGTGTGTGTGTGCGAGCCACGGCTGCACGTCACAAGTGCAGCCGTGGCTCGGCCAGAGCAACCAACACAGACCGTAGCTCCTTCTGCATCGTTTGCAATTGCGGTCGGCGTTTCAGTAGACCACAGGACCTATCCCGTCATCGCCCCTACTGTTCCGAACCTGCTCAACCCCCCATGGGGTCCGCATAGCCAGAATATGGCAGCGCGTCCAAGGTGTGTGTGTGTGTGTGTTTGCTTGTATATGCGCGTACACCTGTGCATGGTTGTGTGTCACTTGTGCAGGCAAGCCCGTGTCCGCAGCATTGAGCGTCTTCTACTGCTGGCAGAGCGGTACATTGACAAGTATGAGGTATGATTGCCCGTCTGCCCCATGCTATAATAGGCTTGAACCACTTTCTATTGTCACCTTTGTGGTCCTCTTATCCTGTACGTATGCAGTGTGTGAGTATTGGACATGACATTAGGGGCATTTCTACATGCGCATGCTACAATATTATTTAAACATGTCCAACACGCTACAGTGTTGTCCCAGGTGTTTTTTGTGCAAGTGCTACAAACGTGCCTTGGTTTGAGGTTGCACTGTACACCTGTTTTGTGGATGCGTGTTTCATAGTTTTTGTAATCGTGGATGCTTTTCTCGTTGTGTTTCATCTTCTTCTTGTTCTTAGAACACTTCCTTCCGACGGATCTGCTTACCACATGGTGCAATGTTTCACGGTGCACAGTATAAGCTGCTTGTTATCTTTGAGCAAAATAAGACCAGTTTTGACCTCGAGGTGAGTAGGTTCTTGGTAACGGGGGCTTGCTGCATTTGTATGTGCTTGCCTGTGCATGTACAGTGGCGGCAAGCAAAATGCAGCCGCTGCATTTTTTACGTACGACCGTACAGCAGTAGTAGATATGCATGCATACATTGTCCATGCTTTGAGGTTGGTGCAATGCAAGCACAACAGTGGGTATGTGATATATGTTGACACAGTGCTCCAGGAACATTCGCCATCGTGAACTAGCTGGGTTTGAGACATGGCACAATTTAGTTACACGAGTATATTGCAGGTTACAATACTGTGCATGTACTTGGTTTGTTTTCACCAAGTCTGTTATAATCGATTTGAACATAATCACAATGTATCACTTTTGTTGTTGTTGTCGTTGTTGTCGTTGTTGTTGTTGTGGTTGTTGTTGTTGTTGTTGTTGTTGTTGTTGTTGTTGTTGTTGTTGTTGTTGTTGTTGTTGTTGTTGTTGTTGCTGTTGCTGTTGCTGCTGTTGTTGTTGTTGTTGTTGTTGTTGTGCTCGTCTTCACCGTTGTTGTGCTCGTCTTCATCGTTGTTGTGCTCGTCTTTATCGTTGTTGCTGCAATTGTGCCCACAGACCCACAGCAACGAGACATTGGCCAACCTCCGGCAGAAGATTGCCAAGCGCATGAACGTCTCTGCGGAGTATGTGTCAATGACGCACAATGATAGAGTGGTAAGCAGTGTGATTGTGTCTGGTTTGCAGTTCATCTTCTTCCCTGGCTTTGTGTACAGGTACATGTATTGGTGAATCAACGCCACACATAGCCCATGCGATTTGCAGCAGGTCCTGGTGGTGTTGGTGTTATATCTTGCTCGTGTGTTTTTCTTCCATTCAAATTTCAAACTCATATGTGATGCTGCTTGTTGGCGTGAATTTGTCTGCACGTGACCCTGTTGAAGTTGCATGAGGCCGTCAGCACCCTTTACACCTTTTACACCTGCCGCCTAGCTATGTCCAATTCACGCCTGCAGGTTCAGTGCTGTACATGTATGACATAGATTATTTCGCCTTGGTGTGGTAGGACTTGTTTGTAGGTGGCCAGTTTCTCTCCTTCTCACAAATACAGTCGTTTAGCGCTGCATTTGATATCCTGTTGTGTCAGTGATTTGTACCATGTATATATTGTTGACCGGGTGGTTTGAGAACTTCTTTCAGTTGAGGAGATTAGTTGCAGCAATGCAGTCATTAGTTATGCAGTGTGTACCGAGGGGTATATTCTGTGAGTGACTATGCTGTGTGTGTTACTGCGCTAGGTGTGCAGTGTGCCTGTGTTTGCGTTCATGGATACACTGACCACCCAACACAAGCCAGCACAGTCTGTATAGTATCGAGTGTGTGTGTACGACCCTGTAAGGGTTACGCAGCTTGAAGATGGTGATTACGCCGCTTGGAGTAGTGATAATGGGAAGCTGTCTCGGTGTGATTGCTCTGACTGTATTGATGGCTGCTTGCTCAATCTTCTGTCCAAACCTGTTCGATTTCGCTACGGGTATTTGCCGCCTGCCATGCAAAACAGCGTGCGGTGTTTACAATTTTGTTCATCGTGTCTGGATAGAGCATTGGATGGCACCGGTTGCTGCTGCTCCCGAGACTGGTTGCGCTAAGACCTGGAAAGATTGTGACTCAGATGACTGTATGAACCATGGGCTTGCAGAGTTTGTGGCGCCGGTTCAACGAACACACTTGAGCGCTTCCAACCCTATTCCGCTTCCTCCCCGCATGGGTACAAGCGAAAAGCCAGTGTTGCCACCACCACCAGCAGCGGCAGGATTTCCCTTCGCTCAGCAAAAGCGTCCTCTACCTACTCTGAACAAGATCACTCATGCTCGAGTTAAGATACGCAAGCACAGGCAGTGGTATGAAACCAGTGCTTACGAGAATCTCTTGCGTCCCTTCTCTGTTGTTGAAAAGCACCGGTGGAAGCCAGCCAGTGTTCAAATTGACGTCACCACTGCTGCTGCTGTTAGCCTTGGAGTGGAGGATACACGCTATTCTTTAGATCAACTCCTGGACACGGAAGAAGAGAAGGAAAACAAACTGAGTAACATCATGCGAAGGTCTTCTACTCTCCAGACACTGCATAGTGGTGAATGGGACAAATGCAGGCTGTGGCAGAAGACAGAAGAATCTATACCGGGAGATCTTGAGGAGCGTAAGCTGCCCGGGGAAAGATCAATCATCACAAGCCATATTGTTTCACCGCTGGAAGGTGATGCAGAAACACAAGAGGCTCCCAGAGTGTTTGTGTCTGGTACGTCAACACTGCTTCGAGAGCTGAAAGAAGCAGAGACTGGCCTCTAACTCGCCGACCTAGCTGTTTGTGTGTGTGTGTGTGTGTGTGTGTGTGTGTGCGCGCGCGTGTGTGTGCGTGAGTGTGTGTGTGTGTGGGGGGGGGGGGGGTGTATGTGTCCATGTCCATGTCCATGTGCACTCATGTGTGTGCGTGTTTGTGCATGTGTGTGTATGCGTGTTTGTACGTGCGTGTGCGTCGTGCACTCGCGCGCGACAGTGAGAGTGCACATGTGTCATTGTAAAAGTAGCTTCTTGTTTCCTTGAGTTTGTTTTCATTTAGTAGTTCTAGATTGGGTCAGACTCGGAACTCAGTTGTTCTATTGCTCTCGAATTGTTCTATGTGACACGCTTCTTGCTGTTTGACATGTTGCTAGCTTGATAGGCACCGTTTACCGGTATATTTTCTTTTGATTCGTACCGTTGGTTTTCTTGATTGTTTTACAAAGAATGCTCTTTTTTTACCTTGTGGTTCCTTGCTGCTGAGCATCACTCACCAGATCTACCATTTTGGATTTACTGGGCTTCCGACAATGGACATTGAAGAAACATTTTGTTATCCTGTGCTTGCCCTAATAATTTTTCTCTCAGCGAAAGTGCCATATCATGTGTTTATGGGAGCCTGCGCTGCATTTTTGCCTTGCAAATAATCACCAACTTATAACACTCAGTGTTACCTGGGTCTACGTTGCCTTGTGTTGTTGACTTGTCTGTTCGTGTGAAGCCCAGTGGCATACAAAGGTTTAGTAGGGAATGTCTCATTGTTATGATTGTCAATGATATCCTCTCTCTCTCTCTCTCTCTCTCTCTCTCTCTCTCTCTCTCTCTCTCTCTCTCTCTCTCTCTCTCTCTCTCTCTCTCTCTCTCTCTCTCTCTCTCTCTCTCTCTCTCTATCTATCTATCTATCTATCTATCTATCTATCTATCTCGCTCTCTCGCTCCCTCTCCCTCCCTCTCTCTCCCTCTCTCTCTCTCTCTCTCCCTCCTTCTCCAGCTGATGCCGTCCGAGAACTCAAAGCTGTTGAGCCAACTGTACATTGTGGATGGAGATACACTATCTGTCCGCCAGATGTATGCCCCAACAGTGAACAACAACATCATGGAGGTGAGACCACGGCAGTCATTCTGTCACAGCGGCTTGCTGCAGCTTATGCTACCCATGGTTTCTTTTTCGTTGTCAATTGTACATTGTGAGCCCTGGTGGTGACGGTTATCTTTTTTTCGGACTTTTTTCCCTTTTCAACACCTTCGACTAATGAATGGTGCAGTAATTTAAGTTTGAAAAGAAGTTAAAATGGGGGAAACGTCTGAAGAAAGAAGTGACTGTCACCACCTGGACTCGAACCAGGACCTTCGCTAAAAGATATTGCCACATTCTGCCTTATATTTTACTCGTGGGGTTCTCATCCATGGCTCTGCAGCTATATGGTCACAGTGTATGGGTTTGTTATGTGATTTTGTGCAGACGGCTGGTGGTAGTATGCCTCCACAGCGGCAGGCTGTACTGATGGAGCAGGTAAGCCCATGCTGCTAGCGGAATTAGAGCTTGCTGGTCTTTGTTTCTCTCGAAATAATGAGTACTGTAATTTCACAAATTTCCGATACTTTCGGTGCATCTGTTTCATACCTAAATTTTCAATAAACCGAACAAATACTAACACACATAATCCGATAAGGAATTGCTTCTCTGCACCTAAATTTTCTGTTCACCTAACCTGGCCTCCTGCCCTCATACCGAAAATATTGAGCACCTAAAATTTCTGAAATTAGAGTATGCTGCTGCTGCTCTTGCTGCATGAACGACAACTGCCTTTGCTCAAGGCCCAAATTCTTGTGCCTGTATGTGCACTGTGCTCATGTGTGTCACTGAAAGGCGCAAGTGGAAGCATTTAGGGTAGTGCAGTACACTCAGAGACATTGTTGTATGTCTAATGTGTTAGAGAGTCTGTAGCTACTTCTGTGTGAGGAACGTGAGTAAATCATAAATTTATAGCATCGATGTTTCTGTGATACTGTTATGCAATTTGTGTGTTGTACTAGTGTATGTGCTGTGTACTACATAATGTGATGTGTATTGTTTTGTAGGAGAAGCAACAGCCCAGTGTGATACTAGCTGGTATGGGTGAAGTGTTCAGTATGCTGTACAAGCTGGGTGCACTGGCAGAGCCGGAGTAAGTGAATGTGGTTGGTAGCTGCTGTACTGTACCCCTTGCCTACGTACTGCAAGCCATGCATGCACTGGGGTGATGTAGCAATAATTTCTTCTGAGGGGTTTTTCACAACTTTTTCACTTGCTGGGTGTATTTGTGTATGCGGATGGATCATTGTGATTTGTATGTACATTGTTTTCTTCAGCCTGATTCTACGTGTACGTAGCCTGCTGATGCTGGTGCCGACTGATCCTTCTGTGATGTCATTCATCAAGTCACTTTGCCAGGTAAGGGGATATACGCCAACCTCATTTCTACACCACTCATTGGTTCTCCGGGCTTCTCCCCATCAATTTTAATTAGGGCTGAAACAATTATACCGATAACTCGCATATCGATCGTTAAGAGTGCAATCGATAATCGTTAATGTTCAAAACGAGTGCTAACGATTTTTTATGCATGCATATCAGTGACAGCATTCTAGCCCTTGCACTCCATCCGATAGTGGATACGAGTGCAATCGTGTACTTCAAGCGCAGTAAAATTGATTTGTGGCTTTGAAAGAGATCAGGAGAGAAGACTTTGCCTTTTCGGTTCCTTTGTGGGAGAAGTCGGAGATGAGAGCAGTTGCCAGAGGGTGATGACAAGATTCTTCGCTCTAGAAACAACATTAAATTCTCTACTTTAGTAGTTCATGTTGATGAAACCAGCCAGATATCTACAGATGTCAACAGTGCGATGCCACAGATTTCTAACGTAGCAAAGGCATCATGAAATTTCTTCGTAAACTGGTGTTCGATAGAGCCGATAAGAATCGATAAAACCAATATATCGATCGTTAATGATATTGGTTAATCGTTAGAGGAGTTATTGAATTATCGTTTCAGCCTAAATTTTATGCATCATTCATCCTGTCTTTGTTCCACCTTTCACACGAGTGTGAGTGTACATGTAAAAATAATAGAACGTAGAAATGCTAAAGGCTGTTTAAGTTCTCATTTGGTCTGCTCCTTTTTGCGAAAGAACCCATATACTAATTCCGCCTCCTCGCTCTCATTTGCTTGTGAACCCAGTCTCCCACACATAATACATGTATTGTTACTTACCTCACATTCCAGTATGTTCTCTCTGTGGCTATATTTGTCACCATCTCTCTTCCTATCCTCTGCATACTGATGCCCACGTCCTTCTCGTGTGTGCAGGTTCTTTTATGCAACACTGATGATTGCTGTCATAGGTATACATGTACGTTGTATGTTCCTTACCCAATTGATGGTATCAGCATTTTCAATCTGTGCACATGTTTATCTTCTCTGCTGTGTCCCGTCGTAGGACAACGTTATCATGGCGGATGGTGTAAGTGCCGCTGAGGCCGACATGACGTCAATCGGTGTCAGCAACGCTGATCCGCTGATGTCGGATGGGAGCAGCAGCGCCTCCGAAGGCGCATCGTCGGCCAAGCTCAATCTTGTCACTCTGTTGAGCCCTAGCGCGCCGGGAATGTCAGCATTCAGGGTGCTCTACAATCTGGAGGTGAGTCGCAGAGGTACATGTATGCAGGAAAAGTGGCAATAGGAAGTGAGGGTATTGATGCAGCACTGATCACCAGCCTTGAAGTGCTAGTATTCATTTTGGTCAATGTTGTCTACAAGTTTTCTACAACTGGGACAGTCCAGCTAAGGTTTTTTTCATAATTTATCTTTGATCTCGAGCTGTTTGTTGTTGTATTGATTGATCAAGCCTGGTTCTAATTCTCACGCTGTTGTGCTTCTTTTCATTGTGCTCACTAGGTCCTAAGCAGTCGTTTGCGCCCTGCCGGCATTGCAGCGGAATCGCAGGCGGAGGCAGCTCAGTTCATTGATAGCTTCCTCTCTGCTGGCGGCCTGCCATTGCTGCTGAACATTCTCAAGGACAAGGCTATCCCGCCACATGTGGATCCTGAAATTCAACAAGAAGTCATCAGCCGCACATTGAACTTGCTCAAGTATGGCCAGTGTTACTTGCACCTGTCTCTGTGACC